CCCAGAATCCTGTTTCAGACAGTGGCCAGTGTGACACACTTCAGAGGAAATGAAAACAACAGGGCAATTTTGAATGATCCATCCCCTGTCATCCAGTCCCAGCTTCTGGCAGTCAGAAGTTTAGGGACACATGAAGCATGGGGTTGCATCCCTCTCCATCTTGGCTAATAGCCACTGATGGACCAACCTATCTTCCAGGAACTTATCTAACTCTTTTTTTTAACCCAGTTATACTTTTGGTCTTCACAACATCCCATAGCAATGAGTTCAAGAGATTGACTATGCAATGTGTGAAGAAATACTTCCTTTTGTTTGTTTTAAACCTGCTGTCTGCTAATTTCATCAGGTGACCCCTAGTTCTTGTGTCATGTAGAGAGGTAAATAACACTTCCCTATTCGCTTTCTCCACACAATGTTTTTAGAGACCTCCATCATCTCCCCCCCTTAGTCATCTCTTTTCTAAGCCGAACAGTCCCACTCTCCTTAATTTCTCTTCGTATGGAAACTGTTCCATCCCCTTTACCATTTTCATTGCCCTTTTCTTCACCTTTTCCAATTCTAATTTTTTTTTTTTTTTAAGATGGCGTGACCAGAACCGTTCATAGCATTCAAGGTGCGGGCGTTCCATAGATTTATAGAGCAGCACTGGAATATTTTCTGTTTTATTATCTATCCCTTTCCTAATGGAGCTTAACAGTCTGCTAAGCTTTTTTGATAGGTGCTGCACATTGAGCAGATGTTCTCAGAGAACTATTCACAATGCCGCCAAGATCTCTTTTTGGAGCAAGATCAAGTTTTTCCTACACAGGCAATTTTCAGAATAGAATTTGGGTTTAATTAAGATTAGGGGTGATCTGAAATACCATTACACCTGTTTAATCAAAAGCAGATGTTGTTGCTGTTGTCAAGGGCTCTGTGTGGTGCTGTTTCCAGCCCTACCCATGAGTTTACCAGCCTGAACTGAAGTCAGCAGGGTTAGAATTAAAATCCTCAACATCATTCCCACCGGGTTATATTGTCAGGCTCACCCATTTGTACTTTCTTTTAAAGCAGGAAAAAACTCTCAAACAGTTCTAGAAAGAAGTAGAGTCATAATTCATACATAAATAAAAGGGATATGTTGGAAGTTAGGTATTTACATTCACCCTGACTTGTCTTATTATAAGGCACCTGTAAGTTCTTCTTTGCATTATGAGTACATGGCAACACCCAACTTAGCACAGTCTAAAGGAAGTTTTGATAGGAAATAGATTATTGGACATAATACATAAGAAGAAAGTAAAAAGTAAAGGAGGAGTAATTTGTAGCTGTTGAATTTAATGTGACATGTGAAAGACCTGGGACAAACTGGAGGAATTACACTGTTCCACAGACCCTGTTACATTCTCCCATTACCATTACAGTTTTTTAGCACGCCTAATTCAGCAAAGCACTTGCTTAACCTTATGCACCTGCTTTAGTCCCACTGGCTTCAATGAGATTTAAACGTGTGTTAAGTGCTTTGATGAATTGGGGCCACAATGCTATATAAGTAGCTAACAGGCTGGCTTTCTACCAGCATACATTTTCTTCCACATCGGGTATATCAGGTTCATCAATGTCATCCGCACTTTGAGCATGACTTAATGTTTAAATTCAAGGTGAGACAGATTATAAAGGTGACCTTCCATTACAGATTTCTAAACGTTTTCAGTTGCCCTATTATTCTGAATCTTCTATCTCACAGGGGTTGAATTCACTGGGCAACATTTGTATAGTGCATTGAAAAGTATCTGTTGTATACATGCTGATTATTATTATTGACCTTGATAAACACAGTGGGTGCAAGGGTGAACCACACGTGGTCTCTAAAGAGAAAATATTCTGCTAACACAGAATGACAAAGAAAGAAACAGTTAAGCAGAAAAAACAAACAATAAACCACTCCCTGTTAACCTTCCCTCCTTGTAGAGAACAAAATAAAAGAGTGGTCTGCATTGCCATCCAAGTTCTAAGAGACAGACATAACTTCTGGCAGACGGATCTGTAGGCATTTCTTCCCCTCCCAGTACACAGAAGCAGCAATTCTGAACTGTTTGCAAGGTCCTTGGAACAGAAGACAACCTGCTATTGAAGACTGGAGATAGCAGACAGAACAAGGTTTTTCTGTCTCTAATTTAAAGGATTCTATGGAAATTCTCAAATAACCTTTAATATCTCGGACTCTACAATAATCTTTTATTTTTTAAAACTGCATTGTTGGTCACAGCAACAATTGCTACAACTAGAAAACTTCAGCTGCAGAAACATAGCTTGTAATGTCCCACTGTTTAGTGTTTTAAATATATATCAGTTACTGTTTTAAACAGAAAGTTGATTAAAGAATGGTGCTCTGTAATTTGTGAAATTGCACATTTTAGTTATGAAAATTAACAAATACATCTGGCTGTTGAAAGTTATTTCCCTGAGTAAACACTGACTCAGTGCAGAACGTACAATATAAGATTTATTAGTAACTATTAGCAAGTTTGAAAAAAAAACCAACTCACTGCACTACACAGAGAAATATTTCAAAATGGAAGAGAATTTTCCCCTATTTCTGTGGTTTGCAGCTATTCTGTTTCAATGGAATTTAACTTCTTAGGAGATTAAACAGACCAGGGTCTCACTATTATATGCTACAGGAAACTGATTTATCTGAATTTTTAAACTTTGAACGACAATGACTAGTATAGGTCAAACATCTGAATTTTCATACTTTTCTGTCCTCTACTCCTGTCAGGCGCTCTGGTGTTGAAATGTGTCAGTGCATACACTTCCTTCTTTGACAGAAACGTCCCGTTTAAGTTAAAGAGAAAGTGGTCATGAAAACTCCAAAGACAACTGTTAAATTCTTAGGCCTGGTCTACACTTGGGGGGGCGCAGGGGGCGGGGGAGAGAAAGAGAGAATTGATCTAAGTTACTTAACTTCAGCTATGTGAATAACGTAGTTAAAGTCAACATACTTAAATCTACTCACTACAGTGTCTTCACTGCAGTGAGTCGACTGCCGACGCTCCCCTGTCGACTCCGCCTGCGCCTCTCGCCCTGGTGGAGTACCGGAGTCACAGATCGCTCGGGGGTCGATTTATCGGGTCTAGACTAGACACGATAAATCGACCCCCGCCGCATTGATTGCTGCCCGCCGATCCAGCGGGTAGTACAGACATATCCTCAGTTAATGGAAATAAAGAATACAATTGAATTTTAAACTCTGTTATGTTTGTTTAGATAACTTCGTTCTTTTTACCTAAATGGCCAAATACACTTAGGGGCAGATCTTCAGCTGGTGCAAAGTGTGATAGCTCCATAAAAGTCACAGCAACTCAATATTTGTGGGGAAAAAAAGGCCTTCCTGAACTCTAAACATCTCTCCAAAGGCTGTTCAGCTGTTACAAACACACATTATCATAAAACAACAGATCTATACCCAATGTTGCCCTTAATGAGGGTCAAACCTTGGGCTACATGCAAGAATACTGTTGCTAAATGAAGACACTCAAATACCTTTGCTAAACTGGTGACAGAAAGGTTTCATCCACACTATGGCTGAAATAATCATTTTATAACCAGTGAGAGGTCTGGTCTCTTTAAACACCTACAATTTACAATATTTAGCATGCATCCAAACAGCAGGTTGTCTGCCATCATAATTGCCAAATAAATTGCCACAAGTACTCCTTTTCTTTTTGCGAATACAGACTAACACGGCTGCTACTCTGAAACCCAACATAATTGTGTTTGTGTGTTCACTCCTAGCATTCTGTCTGTCTTCCTAGGAAAATCTTTTGCAGTGCCTCCGCACCAGCTGCCCATGCCAAAAACCAGCTGCCCATGCGCCAACTCTGTGAGTGCTCTGGGGCTGGAGCATCCACAGGGAAAAATAAGCAGGTGCTCCACACCCACCAGCAGCCAAGCTCCCCCGCCTCCACATTTGGCGGCACTTAGGACTTTCCAGGAGGGAGGGGAAGAGCTCAGGGGAGGAGGTGGAGAAGAGGCAGGGCAGAGGCAGGGACTTGGGGAAGGGGTGGAATGGGGGTGGGATGAGGGCAGTGCCGGGGCAGGGACAGGGGCATTGGGGGATCGAGCACCTATGCCAAAAAAATATTCAGGTTTTTTTCCAGACAACTTCCACTTTCTGCCTAAGATTAGAGGATTTCTTAGGCAAAACCCCTAATCCTTTGCCACAGAAGTCACAGTGTCTATCTGGTATCATGGAGGTTTTCCAGTTATCGCAAGCTGCTGCTTTTTCCACTTCCTTGATTTTAGTGCCTAGAAGCCAAGCAGGGCAGAAAGCAGCACCCCAGCTGCATCCCAAGGTGCCACCTGACAAGAAGGCAGAGGCAAGTACTACAGTTTGTGTTCATACATTGCTGAATTGAACTACAGGGAGGGCAGAAAATGAGCCAGACTGAGCTCTGTCTGCTGATGCGCCAGTGTTCTGAAATCCAAACTGAGAGTGACCAGTTGGGACACTTGTCAATAGCCAAGTGCACTTTATGAATGGGTGTGTGAAATGAGCAACTGTCTCACAGAAGAAAAGCTACCTATGACAAAAAGAAAAGGAGTACTCGTGGCACCTTAGAGACTAACCAATGTATTTGAGCATAAGCTTTCGTGAGCTACAGCTCACTTCATTGGATGCATACTGTGGAAAGTTTAGAAGATCTTATTATATACACACAAAGCATGAAAAAAATACCTCCTCCCAGTAATAGCTTATCTAAAGTGATCACTCTCCTTACAATGTGTATGATAATCAAGTTGGGCCATTTCCAACACAAATCCAGGTTTTCTCACACACACACACACCCCCCACACACAAACTCACTCTCCTGCTGGTAATAGCTTATCCAAAGTGATCACTCTCCTTACAATGTGTATGATAATCAAGTTGGGCCATTTCCAGCACAAATCCAGGGTTTAAACAAGAACATCTGGGGGGGGGGGCGAGTAGGAAAAAACAAGGGGAAATAGGCTACCTTGCATAATGACGAAGCCACTCCCAGTCTCTATTCAAGCCTAAGTTAATTGTATCCAATTTGCAAATGAATTCCAATTCAGCAGTTTCTCCCTGGAGTCTGGATTTGAAGTTTTTTTGTTGTAAAATAGCGACTTTCACGTCTGTAATCGCATGACCAGAGAGATTGAAGTGTTCTCCGACTGGTTTATGAATGTTATAATTCTTGACATCTGATTTGTGTCCATTTATTCTTTTGCATAGAGACTGTCCAGTTTGACCAATGTACATGGCAGAGGGGCATTGCTGGCACATGATGGCATATATCACATTGGTGGATGTGCAGGTGAACGAGCCTCTGATAGTGTGGCTGATGTTATTAGGCCCTGTGATGGTGTCCCCTGAATAGATATGTGGGCACAGTTGGCAACGGGCTTTGTTGCAAGGATAGGTTCCTGGGTTAGTGGTTCTGTTGTGTGGTATGTGGTTGCTAGTGAGTATTTGCTTCAGGTTGGGGGGCTGTCTGTAGGCAAGGACTGACCTCTCTCCCAAGATTTGTGAGAGTGTTGGGTCATCCTTCAGGATAGGTTGTAGATCCTTAATAATGCGTTGGGGGGGTTTTAGTTGGGGGCTGAAGGTGACGGCTAGTGGCGTTCTGTTATTTTCTTTGTTAGGCCTGTCCTATAGTAGGTGACTTCTGGGTACTCTTCTGGCTCTATCAATCTGTTTCTTCACTTCCGCAGGTGGGTACTGTAGTTGTAAGAATGCTTGATAGAGATCTTGTAGGTGTCTGTCTCGGTCTGAGGGGTTGGAGCAAATGCGGTTGTATCGCAGAGCTTGGCTGTAGACGATGGATCGTGTGGTGTGGTCAGGGTGAAAGCTGGAGGCATGCAGGTAGGAATAGCAGTCAGTAGGTTTCCGGTATAGGGTGGTGTTTATGTGACCATTGCTTATTAGCACTGTAGTGTCCAGGAAGTGGATCTCTTGTGTGGACTGGACCAGGCTGAGGTTGATGGTGGGATGGAAATTGTTGAAATCATGGTGGAATTCCTCAAGGGCTTCTTTTCCATGGGTCCAGATGATGAAGATGTCATCAATATAGCGCAAGTAGAGGAGGGGAGTTAGGGGATGAGAGCTGAGGAAGCGTTGTTCTAAATCAGCCATAAAAATGTTGGCATACTGTGGGGCCATGCGGGTACCCATAGCAGTGCCACTGATCTGAAGGTATACATTGTCCCCAAATGTAAAATAGTTATGGGTAAGGACAAAGTCACAAAGTTCAGCCACCAGGTTAGCCGTGACATTATCGGGGATAGTGTTCTTGATGGCTTGTAGTCCATCTTTGTCCATCCTGATTATCATACACATTGTAAGGAGAGTGATCACTTTAGATAAGCTATTACCAGCAGGAGAGTGGGGTGGGAGTAGGTATTTTTTTCATGCTTTGTGTGTATATAATAAGATCTTCTAAACTTTCCACAGTATGCATCCGATGAAGTGAGCTGTAGCTCACGAAAGCTTATGCTCAAATACATTGGTTAGTCTCTAAGGTGCCACAAGTACTCCTTTTCTTTTTGCGAATACAGACTAACATGGCTGTTACTCTGAAACCTACCTATGACAGCCTTCCTTGGCGAAAGTGTTCCCTATCACTCTAGAGACCAGCACTCTCTGGCAGATGATTTTGGTATGGGGAAGACTATTGGACTGTGTAAACTGCAATAGAGAAAGAGTTACTGACCTGAGTGACCAAGGTAACTAATGCCCGTGAAACAATGGACGACAGCCTTGGAAGAATAGAGAGGCTTTTTTTTGCCACCTGGTCATGATATACGTGACACAATTACAACAAAGACTGCTGGAGTTCTGTCCACCAGTAGCTTCTCTCATAACACAAACTTTGTCAGTGTTTTCATATTAACACCTAACTTTGCTGTCTCAGCATGTCTGTGTCTACATTCTGGAAAATCTGGGCAGCTATCCCACACTGCCTCAACAAAGGAAAGAGTGCCCAGAGGACATAGCCAATGCATTCCGGAACGTCCTACAGCAGACAGAGCCAGGAGGAGCAATCAATCCCGTTACTGAGGCACAATGAGGGTGGTCCCAACACTCCATAACATAAGAGTGTTATGCTTTGTTACCCAAAGACAACTACATACGAACCTAGACCACTGAAAAGGGTGAGACAAGGTTAGCTGCCATGGTTACTATCACTATGTTTGTGATTGCACACAAATCATGTTTAGAGCCTACCATGTCACTAACCGGTTACAAAAAGTTAAAAACCATAGCGTGGACAGGGCTTAAAGAAAAGACAAGGGGACAAAGCAAGAAACCTAGAGAAAGACACTTTGCTTGACTTCAGTCTACATGTCCTGGTTTGTTATAGAATGCAGACACATTACATTGTGAAGAACGTCCAGTCCCAAATTACTGTACACAAATAGTAATTCTGCGTAATCTCAAACACAGGTTTCCAAACATGGGATTAACATAATTTTAGTAAGGCACAAAGGTGGGTGAGGTACTATCTTTAATATATACCAACTTCTGTTGGTAAGCGAGAAGTTTACAGAGAGCTGTTCTTTAGGTGATTTGAGTGAGTGAAGCCATGTTATACACTGGTTTCACTGCAACTACATTTCAGCTGTATATAAATATGGTTTTAAACTGTGATTGTCTGCCACATGAAGACAGGATCTCAGAATGCCAATCTCAGCACTCACATCAGTATGGAAAGTTTCCTCAAGGTAGTAAGTTTTGCTGTCACCTACTGAGAGAGAGATTAAAGCAAATGCCTCTACCTCTTTCTCTTCAGTGACATACTGGAATTTCTATCCCAAACATCAGCCTAACCTAAAGGAGACACTGGCTGTTTTGGAAAGTGCCAATCATCTTCTCATTCTTCCAAATGGGGAGGCAAGGTGCACTAGATTTTCAAAATTTTCCATGCTGTGACCCATTACAACAGGAAAAAAAAAAAATTCAGACCCTCCCGTCTAGCCATAAAAGAGCAGGGATATAGCTGGACCAGTTCACAACTCCCAGGTTGAGAAACCATGAATGGACTGGAACTCAAGACTTGGGTTCTATCCCTGGCTCTGTTATGGACCTACTGGGTGACGCAGCCTTCACCTCCGTTTCCCATCTCCACTAGCGCTTACGCTGGCGTAATTCATGTCACTTGGGCGGTGAAATATTCACACCACTGAGTGACATAAGTTTTGCAGACATAAGTGGTAGTGCAGACATCGCCCGTGCAGAGTAAGGCTATCACAAAAACATAGGGCTGTACCCAAGTATCTAACAGTGAGGGAGGGAAAAAAATAGCCAAGCACTAGATGTGAGAACAATCCACTGTCTCCAGATTGCTCTGATGCTATGCTTACCTCTAGACACACTGATTGCCCCAGCAATCAGAGAACTTTACTGAGTCAGTCCAAAGACACTAAAAACTAAAAGCATTTGTCATCTATCTGTAGCGACGGAGGGAGTTGCCCACCCCCAACCAAAGCCTTATTAACTACAATATCACAACGCTGTCCATACCAGTTCCCAGACTCATTTTCTTTTTGCAAACTCATAAAAATACAAAAAGAAAAGGAGTACTTGTGGCACCTTAGAGACTAACCAATTTATTTGAGCATAAGTTTTCGTGAGCTACAGCTCACTTCGTCGGATGCATACTGTGGAAAGTGTAGAAGATCTTTTTATATACACACAAAGCATGAAAAAATACCTCCTCCCACCCCACTCTCCTGCTGGTAATAGCTTATCTAAAGTGATCACTCTCCTTACAATGTGTATGATAATCAAGTTGGGCCATGGCCAACCAGGGATAGTCAATTATTTTTTGAAAAGGTCCAAATTTCTTGGTCAAGTATACTCAAGGTCCAGACTCCAGAAAAAATAATAAAAATAAATAATAGAAAAGGAGTACTTGTGGCACCTTAGAAACTAACCAATTTATTTGAGCATAAACTTGGAGTAAGCTGTAGCTCACGAAAGCTTATGCTCAAATAAATTGGTTAGTTTCTAAGGTGCCACAAGTACTCCTTTTCTTTTTGCGAATACAGACTAACACGGCTGTTACTCTGAAACTTATAATAAATAATTATTATTATAAGTAAATAAAAAGATTTTGGGGTCCATTCAAAGGCATCAAGTAGTCTGGATTTAGCCCATGGTCCGCCTATTGACTACCCCTGCCCTATACGACACAGATTTCACAGGGGAGATCAGTGTTTCTCAGACTGGGGGTCCTGACCCAAAAGAGGGTTGCAGGGGGTCACAGGGTTATTTTAGGAGGGTTGCAGTATTGCCACCCTTACTTCTGCATTGCCTTCAGAGCTCAGCGGCCAGAGAGTGGTGGCTGTTAGCCAGGCGCCCCGTTCTGAAGGCAGCACCCTGCCAGCAGCAGCACAGAAGTAAGGGTGCAATACCGTACCATGCCATCCTTCTGCGCTGCCGCTGGTGGCGGCTTTGCCTTCCAAGCTGGGCTCCCAGACAGCAGCAGCTGCTCTCCAGCTACCCAGCTCTGAAGGCAGCTCTGCAGAAGTATGGGTAGCAGTACTGCAACCCCCCCTCCACCCCCACCAACACTTTTATGGGTCAGGGCCCCCACAATTACAACACAGTGAAATTTCAGATTTAAATAGCTGAAATCATTAAATTTATGATTTTTAAAATCCTATGACCATGTAATTGACCAAACTGGACCTGAATTTGGTAGAGTCCTAATTATGACTGTGAAGTGGGCAGCATGGCGCAGCAGCAAGGCACTGAACTGGGAGCCAGGACCCCGGATCCTATTCTCAGCTCTGACACTAACCTGTTGTGTAAATCTTGGACAAGATGTGCCTCGGTTTCCCCATCTATAAAATAGGGCTAATGATACCAACCCTCTTTTGTACAGTGCTTTGAGATCTGTGTATGCGAAGTGCTAAATAAGAGTAAAGTATTATTATTCCAACATAGTTTAAGAGCCTTGCAGAAAAGAGCATTTTGTCACCAAGGCACACAATGGGAGCCATATAAGTACCTAAAATAGATATAGACAGACAGACAGACAGACACACTCTTTAGGATAATGAATAAACCAAAGCTCTTAAAATTACAGGCCATTACCACCTTTGTTACAGCAAATGCATAATCAGCTTCTTTCTTCTGACTCAGCCACACCCTTCTCTTAATCATTGCTCTAGATTATTTTATTAACCTGCTAAGACTCACACCACCATCCTGAAGAACAGGTCTTCTTGGGGTCTTCACTTTGTTTTAATTAAAACAATTTAGGGTGTTACAATATATACGGAATAATAATAAAAAAAATTTGCAACATTTTGGAGTGAAATTGTTTTGCTGATTATCTGAGGAACATACCATGATCTCTACTGAGGTTAATTTTTTAAATTCTACACGGGGAGTTTTAAAAAATTAACCAAAGCATTCTCAATTTAGGAAATGGTAGACTGGCAATTCTGCCCTTTGCATTTAGCTCCATACCGTTTAACGGTCAAAGGAACAATATCTTTCATCTGCAGAAGTTCACTCTCAGCTTTCATGTCTATTACCCAGGAGCACCTATTCCTAAAGCACAAAACTCAATAAAAGAACACATTATCTTGACACAAAATACGCATTGTACATACCTGGGAAGAATCAGGTGAACACACACACACACACACACACTTATTTTGTGAGTAAGTATCGGTATAACTATGGAATGGGACACGCTGGCTGGCTCTCCCCAGTCTCTTGTAGGCTCTCACACGCAGGGAGACAGTATATTCCCCTCCTCTTCAGGGGGGCAGGGGGTGAAGTTACGCACACACAGGGACTCGCTCGGGGTAAGGGTTACACACACGCCGCCGCTAACTCCTCAGTAAACCCCGCTTATTCTCTCGCCTTAAAATGCAGAAAGTGAAACTTAGCCGCTGGGTCCCTCCTTTCCACTCAGCCTTTCCGAGGACCTTGGAGCCTCCCAGGATCACCAGCGCTGGGGCCTGTAAGAGGCGCCGCTGTCTCCTCCCGGCCGGGCGACGGGGGCTCTGCGCGCAGAACACCCCCCGTCTCACCTGGGGATCAGGCCCGCCCCGCGCGGGAAGCAGGCTCCTGGACCGCCAGGGCCGGAGGGTCTCCCCGCGAGCGTGTCACGGCCAGCCCCCCGTCCGAGCCTGCGCCCTTCTCGCTCCGGAGCAGGCCCGAGCTCGGAGCATGCGGAGAGCGCGCGGTGAAGCCGCTGCCCTCGCTCCGCCCTCAGGGT